TTTCGATGTGTATTTATTTTAGCCCGCAACTCTCTTCCGGAGGGAACGACCAATTGATCGTGCGCCGTAGCGTATCACGACTTTTATTTCGCGTCCAACGAAGCGTGCATTTTTATTCGTTGTGAAACGTTGCCTTTCGCCGCCACTGTGTGTTTTATTGGCCGAACAACCACGTGTCGAATTCGCTCCCGAAGAATCGAGTTGATTTCCACGATAATAGTTAAACGGTTAGTCTAAGATCTGTCGCAAAAATAAAAGTAAAAAGAAGAGAAAGAGAAGAAAAGAGTCGAAGGGGAGGAAAAAAGAGAGAAAGAGAATCGAGACACAAAAATCCTGGCGGATTTCCCAAATCTCGATCGTAACCACGGTTGAATTAATCCGTTTGCGAAAAAGCTTTTTGGCCTCGTAAACAAATCGTTTTCATACGAAACACGGATAGCGACTCGTATTTTATCGATACGCAATTGATTTTTAATCTCGATATAAGTGTAAATGAAATCGATATCGGATGTGTATCTCGTCTTCTGTTTCTCTCGTTGATTTTTTTATTTTTTATTTTATGTTTGAAAGCACGCGATGATCAATGTACGAAGCGATCGTGTTACGGCTCGATAAAACACATAGTTCGCGAAGGTAAGATTGATAGTCATATAAACGAAGCGTTTGTATCTGAAAAGAAGAAAAGAACAAAAGAAATGATAAATAGAAAAAAAAATAAACGATCGAAAATAAGCATAGTGCCGTTAGAATTTCGTGAAAGAATATTATACCCGGAAAACGTTTGTACAATAAAAATGAACAATACTCTGTACAAAATATATATACACGTACACTCACGACATATGCATATGTATAAATATTATCTCCGATTTAACGATGTTCTTTTCGCACGCGTACGTTTCTGCACGCACTTTTAATCCTTGTATCCGCGCATCGTCTTCTGGAAATGGTATCATTCGTTCCACGATAATATGCATTTTGTATTATCGTTCATTTTTAGTCAACTACCCGCTTAAGGCCTTTTCTATAGTTTTTAATTAAGTAAACTCGCTGCGAATGCGCCATCGCAATTTTTTTCGATCATGCGCCGCTGCAACAGAGAGAGAGAGAGAACAAAATTTTTTTAAAAAAAATAAATGAATGGAAGAAAGAACGAGCGTGTATGTGTATATGTGTGCATGAGAAATATAAAAGAAGAATAATAAACGTCTTTCACGCGCAATGATATTTTAGCCTATCATCGTTCATGCATCAATTGTATCATACATGTAATCTCTCGATTCGTGCATTTTCATCATTGCGTTCATATACTTAATTTTAATTGAATCGATATCTATGATCGTCTTGTATTTGATTGTGTACCTCGATTTGTATATATATACATATATAAAGAAAGAAAAAAAAAAAAGAAAAATTAAAAAAAAAAGTGAAATAAGAAATGAATTGTCCCCATGAACGGTGGACGATTTAAAATGAAAAGTGACTGACTTTAGTACCTTTACGATTACAACACCCTTTATAATTATCTACTATCATTATTTTTTTTGTCGAGAACAATAATTGTCGTTTGCAATTCACAGTTTGGTTGCAGCGGCAGCTTGAGATTACCCCCATCGAGTTACTGCACGCTTTTATACATCTTTTATCTCGCGAGAATGTGTGTTTCCATATCATAATTTTTTTTTTTTATTTTCATTCATTCTCTCTCCCTCTTACTCTGACATATAATTAACAGCATTAAGTTTCGTAGGATAAAACATGATTTCTTAAGCGACAATGCAAACTTTTGATCTCTAACACGCGCGCATGTTATAATAATATGCATATGATGCGCGCGTAAACATACGTGTAAGTAAAATACGTAAATTAGTAAACGAAATGCGAAAAATCATGCTCGTGTTGCGTCCATCATCTCCTTATTGATAATCGCCCCTTTTCTTTGTGTTTGCCTGTTCCCTGGAAACAAACGAATAGGGATCGAACTATCATGTCGTTGTACATCTTCTTACGGAGGACACTCTATACAGGGTGTTAATATGTTCATGGAACATCTTTGAAGTATTGATTCAAGAACTAAAAAAACAAACACAAAAATTAATAAAAGATATTTGTTAAACCTTTTTTATAAAATTTTAAGTAATATTTGTCTTAAATGAAGTAAGATGAAAGTAAAATAAAATGATAGATAAAGATATCTTACTTTCTGTCTCTTTCCATTATTTTTACATTCTTTTATATTTTATTCCGCGGATCTACGGAAAACTTGGTATTGAATTTGCAATGTTTTAAATCTATCATAATCTATAAGAAAATATAATAATATCTATAAGAAAATTTTTTGATTGATTATTCGTTATGCGTTTTGGACGCCACTTGTAAAATGTGTTTGTAAAAATAATAGATAAATGCTGATATACATTACCAAAGTTGTGTATGTATAGATAAAATTCAATATATTATACTAAAAGTTTTTTATTAATATTTCAAAAATTAATAAAGATCTAAGTCAAAATTTTAATTTGTTTACACCCCAAAAGGGGAAACCGTACTTATTATTTATAACCGTACTACACTTATTATTTATAACTTAATAAATAAGATTCAATTAATAACTTTTATGTTTGTTTAATTTCTAGAGTTAATTCTCTAAAGATTGTTTCATATATAACATCCTGTATATATAAATATATATAAAAATATATATAAATGGTACGATTCGAGCATTTACAATGATTCGACATGTAAATGCTATACACACGGTGATATACATGGAATACAATCGATAATACGCGTATATATTATAACGGGGCACAGAATTGTGTAATTACGTTACGTCGGAAAACCCTTGGTAATTTCCGATACATAAGCGTGATTGTAACGCGTTTTTGTCACAAGTCAAAAAAAATGAGAAACTCATTTTTTAAAGAATTGCTCTGACTTGATTAATAAGAAACGAAATAAACGCTGCTTAAGACAGTTATGAACTGTTGTAACTTCTTTCAATTTTCGATTGAATAGTTTTCAATACAGATACAAGAAAATACATATATGTATACCTAGATATATCCCATTTTTCCTTCCTCTTTCTCTCTTTTTTTTAATTATACTACAGTATAATCAAAATTTATCGATTTGCTTATTTTGCAACGAAAGAAAAATTGATAGAGATGAATTAGCTAAATTTTATAAAGCATTCAATTGTTGAATGAATAAAATAAAAAATAAATAAAATGTCGAAAATTCCATGACATCTGGAAAGGTAAATGCGAATCGGGCTTTTTGCCAAAACATTAAATCTTCGTGATACGTCATTGATAGAAATTTCCGTCTGAAAATTTGTAGAATTAGTTACACATTAAGATCATGGAACTCGAAGATTATCATTGAATCCTTTTTTTGTAGTTTAGATAGTTTAAATGAATATTATTAATCAATCAATCATTAAATTATCATTGAATTTAAAATTTTTTCTCATATAAAAGAAAAGTTTCAATTGAAAATTCCAATAAAAATTAAATCAAAATTCACGAATAGATCGAAATAGTGAATTTATCGAATTACAAATGATTCATTTTTTGTGATCACATATAAAGACTAATTAATTAGAATATTGATAAAGTATCTTACTTTATTTCTCGTACAGTTTTTGTTAAATGAATTGTTAATCATTGATACTCAACATAGGTCGACATCGATTTTTATTTGCATCTAAGTGTGTCATACTTGCGAAACATATTTTTATCCTGATAAAAGAATTCCAATTTAGAATAAATTTGGATTGTAAAAATAGTCTGCATTGTTTTGATGTGAAATCAACGAGAAGAAATGTCGTAAATCTGGAATAAATCAAATTGCAATTATTTGACAGTGAATACTTTTCCGAGTATTTATTTTTAATCTCATGATATACAGTTTACAAGAATGACGTCAAGCAAAGTAAGTATGGATGATTTGCTCCTATATACTAAATATAATATATCGATAATATATATAATATATATAAATATAATAGTATATCGATGATTGATAGATCATTCTTTTAATATAATCTAATCAATGTAATATTTTTCTTTCTAATAGTGTTTTATAATAGTGTTTAGAAATTTTTATGATTTTAAATCTTAATCTTAATAAAAGATTTTAAATCATTTTAAATCTTACTCTAAATGTTTTATTCAATTAATATTTTATATATATATATATTTTTTTAGTTTATATATATTTACTTTAAATGTACAAATTATATACAGTTACTTTAAATATAATAATTATATATAGTATATACAGTACAATTATATACAATTAGGATGTTTAATATATCATAAAAAAAAATGATATAATTCTAATCTTGCAATCAAATTTTTTTTGCTGAATATCTCTTTAATATCAAAGAAGTGTTTATAATAATTACGTTGTTATTAAGAAATTATATAATGTTTTTAAAAATTATTTATGTTAATATGATATTCTTGTAATATATAAGGTTATATATTCAAATTTTTTCTAAGAAAATTTATGTATTATAAATCTATATATTATAAAACCACTGATAAGAAATACATTCCTATATTCCTATGTTCTTAAATAATTATTATAAATTTGTAAATAGAGAGTTTAAATCAATTAAGTTATTTTATTTTAAGAATTGACTTAATTATCAGAAATGAAATGTTAAAAACTAATTTTTTTTCTCAATAAATATTATTCAAAAAATGATCTCGATATTAATATTTTGATGCTTGAAAGATAAATTGGTTTTTAAAACTTAAAAGAAAAAATCGAACCTGTATCACTCTTGTTTCGATTGCGACCATTTATTCTCGGTTTGTCCAAATTCAATGGTAGAAGATATTGGCTGATTGCCAAAGCGCTTCTGTTTTTCAAGCTCCTTGAGAACTATTCAAGACAATGAAGGAAACCTTTTTGATAATTCTTCATAGAATTGAATGTATGAAAGAGGAATTAAATGCATTTTAGTCTTTAAATAATTAATAATTTTTTTCTTTCTCTCTCTTTTTTCTTTTTATATGATACTTTATAATATCATTTAAAATATCTCGTAATATCTTAAATTTAAAATTTTATGTTAACTATGATTATACATATATGTTGTTATCCTTAATATTCGTATATCTGATATTAAAATTAAATATATACATATTAACATATAAAATTTAAACGCAATAAAATAAGAAATATATATTGATATTTGAAATCGATGTTATATGATAGTCTACTTGGTGGCGCACTAATCGAAAACTTCATCATCATGTTGTTGAATATTCTATGACAAACATGAAACAAAATTATATTTGAATAATTTATGATTTTATGAAAATTAAATATTTTCTCATATATTTAAATGATTTTGATTTTAGATAAAAAACATATTTAATAATATGAAATATTTTTATTTTACTTTACAATTGTAAATTTTTTGATTTATTTAATTTGTTTTTAATCTTTTATCAAGTAATTATAAATATAAAAATAAAAGTTTCTAACTATAATATTAATTATAATTAAATCATGAATTTATATTATTCGAATATGTGACTTGAAATCATTAATTTTTATATGAAGTTTGCAGTAAGAAATTTGAAATTTGAACTAAGAAATTGTCTTACTATAAAATCATTACTCATGGCGAAGAAATTTATTAGCAAATTTTGATTGTTATGATTTTATAATATGACTATTTAGAGATTTATAAATTTATTTATAAATTTTAGAGATTTTAAATAATGATAATGTTTAAAAAATGTTAGTATATATAAAGAGAGTTTGTTTACATATATTATTTTTTTTGGTCACATCATAAAACTTTGTTAAAAATATTTGAAAAAGCGCCTTAATATTTTAAATCGTTACATATTAAAAAGTTTATTTTCAACATTCAATTCTTATAATATATAATAGAAGTAGCAAATATATTTTTGAAATTTTGCATTTGTTAAATAAATTTGATATTTTATAAAGTGAATTTTTATTTTTTTTATTAATGAATATGCATCAAAAAACTAATATATAGTAATTTATAGTAATTTAATATTTGACTGCATGTAAATTTAAATTTTTGAACATTATATGAATTAAACAAATTACTTATATATTGATATAAAAAAAATACTAATATAAATAGTTTATTTATTATAATGCATACATGAAATAAATTTAAAAAACAAATTTAAATTTAACATACATTATGTTAATAATAAAAATATATAATGTAAATATATTTTTATTTTTTTCTATTCCTTATTTATTTGCCATTGATGGAAGTATAATATTAAAAGAATTGGGCGAAAAACAATATCATTTAATTAAAGGTATATATTATTTAATTACATAAATAAAAATATAATAAATTTTATATTTTATATTTGTTTATATGTATAGCAAAATCATCCTTATCTCAACATGGAATTTGTTGGCAAAATGCTATTAAAACAATAAAAATTGATTGTAATAAATTAAATGATCAAGAACATTCTCTTCTTGCCTTAAAATTAACAAATTGTTTTTTAAAAGATAGTGGACATGAGACATATGATTGTTATCTTATTAATTCAGAATATCAACGCAAGTAAATATAATAATGTAAACTAAATAAAATAATAATATAAATCAATTTTATTATATTTAATAATTTTTGTATTTATTATTTTTATAGAAATTGTATTAATAATATGTCAGATAGAGCATTTAATGTATATAATGAATTTTATATACATACTATGCACATGTGTTTTTATTTAAATTATGAAGCTTGGCAAGTTCAAACTGACAACATGGTTAAACAGTAAATTCTTTTATATATAATTATTAAAAATTTTTTGAAGAAATTAATGATAATTTTTTACAGATTATATCATGTTTCTTCTCGAATGAAAGAACAATTATTAGAAGCTACAGAAATGCAAGAAATTATACTTGATAATCAAAAACAGAGTCTACAAATGCAAAATAAACTTTTAAATCATGGAAAAGAACTTGGTATTGTATTAAAATCTTCTTCTGAAAGTGTTAATAATTTAGTTAAAGATTTCAAGTGAGTATATAAAATTTTTTTTATTATAATTTTATATATAATCTTATTATAAGATAATTAAAAAATAATATTATTGATTACAGAGAATCTGCAAAAGATCAAAAAGAATTATTATATGAAATCTTTTCATACTTTCGTTCTTTTCAAAATTGGATTGTTGGAGAAGTTTCTTGGTTTCAATCAATTATTTATTACATAATTAGTTGTATTTTATGTGCATTATTTAGTTCTTCTAAAAAAACTGTAGATGCAAGAATCACTCTTTTTTCAATTTTAAGTTTGAATATAATAGTAGAACGAATGTTGATTCAATATTATAATAATATGCATTATTCCAATGACAATCAGGTAATATAGAATTGGATTTTTAAAATAGTTGATATTAAAAAATTACATAAAAGTAAATGATTTTTATTTTTTAATTTAGAACTATTTATTGAATACAATATGGATATGTAGAAAAGTAGTTCTTACTCTTTGTGCCATTACATTATTCTGTACATATTATTATTATAAAGATGAACAAATAGAAAATAATAAAGCATTAAAACGTATTGAACATCAATTAAACACTATACAAGAAGTTACGTCTATTTCTACTAAATATCCAATTCGTAAGTATTATAATTTTTTATAATTGATATTGTAAAAAAAAATTTATTAGAATTATTTTATTTTATTAATGCACAGGTTATTCTACACGATTAAGAATGAAGCATTTACAAGCACAGGTTAATAAACAGATTAATAATGAAATTCTTTCATAATATAATATTTTATTTCATATTATTAATTCATTATAATAATAGTATGAATTTTATTAGTGATAATAATAATGTAACAATAAAAATATTTTTTATATAATATTCTAATATTTTATTCAAAATTATTAAATATTTGGATACATACGTAAAAGATATGTTATTTGTTTATTTGTAAGTATTTTACTATCAGGAGCAGGAACATCAATTTCTCGTAGTTTCTTTTGTATAACTGAATTCTTCAAATACTTTTTATAACAATCATTTAAATTTTGTGTAAATTTCTCACATATTTTATCATTAAATGTATTTTCTTTCCAACATCCAAATAAAAGTGACATTTCAAATAAACATTTATTTTCTGAAATATTTATATACAAATATATTTAATTATTATAATATTTTTTCTTATAAAAAATTTGTATTGTAATAAAATATTGTATTGTAAAATACATCATTTTACCTATCACATTTTTTGAACTTCCTTTAACTGAATTTTTTAAAGATAAAGGTATAATTTCTTTAAATGGTACTTTTTTTTCATTTTGAGGTGCTTTTGCATGATGTCTACTTTTAAAATATATTATATTCAATCTCATTTTCTATAAATAAAAATATATATAAATTTTAAAAAGTATTAAACAATATATATAAGGTTAAGAAACTTGAAATTAAAATTTTTACTAAATCTATTAATTAATTTTTAATATCTTTTTATAAAATATTATATTTAAAATATTAGATAAATTTTATAAAAAAATATTTTTTAACTAATTATTTCATTTAAGCAAATATGTACCTTTGATATTATTTATTTCAAAAAGGTATGTTTAGTAATAGATGGCGCTAAAATTACTGAAGATTAATAAATAAATTTAATAATTAAAAATCATTGATAGTATAATTTATTGTTAGACTTATTTTTATTATTAGAAATATATATTAAATATTGTATTTTTTTAGTATGATTAATTATATTGTATATAATTATATAAATATATGTTGAAATTAAAAATGTATAAAAAGTTTAATGAGATTTAATAATTAAGAAATAATTAAAAAATTTATTCTAAGATTAATATTTTCTACCATTTGAAAAAAATATAAATTATATTTATATAGTAAGCAAAAATGATAGTAACATATGATTAATGGACCAAAATGAGGGATAGCGGGGAACGCCAAGAAATGAGATCTTCGCGAAGAGAATTTTAAAATACCAGTTGATCAGTTCACGTGTAAACCATCGCATAATGTTTTCCAGTGTAACCTTCATTTCGTGAAAGAGTTATATAGTCATTTTGATAGTATATATTTCCTATAGTACACAAGAGAACATTTGTGAAATTATATTTTTATTTTATAATATTTTTCAAATCTTTTAATATTTATAATGGAGAAAGTAAGAAGTAAGTCTTTTATTTTTATTTATATATTATAGGTTAAATTATACTTTATTTATTTAATTTATAACATTTTTAGTTAATTTTTTTTTCAAAATTTTTGCAGTTTATTTTTTATTAGGTTGTTGATTCGTAATATTTTGAATACATTTTTTTTACCAAACTGTTTTGCATTATTTTTTTTCGAATAATATATTTGCATAATATTATAAAATCTTTTATGATAGATATTTTATTTTTATATTATATGATAAAAAATAATTGAAAAAAAAATGAATAACTATTTCTTTAAAATTGATATATTTATAAGCAAATCATTTTATTACGTATTATACTTTATATAATGCTGATTTTTCTGTTTCATTTTTATATTGTTAGTATTAAACGCATATTAATATTAAACAATTATTGCAACAAATATTTAAAAACAATGTGTTTTTTTAGCGTGTTACACTTTATATTTATATGAGTCATTGTAAAGCGAAATGAAAAAGTAGGTCTGTAATATCAGTTTGGCATTGGAAATGTTGCATAAATGGTAGTACGATTTAAACTTGAATATACATTCACTTTTTAAATTATTTCATATATATATATATATATATATATATATATGTATTTTATAATATAATATTTTATAATAAAAATGAAATATTTAAGAAGAAATCGATTTAG